GGTTAGGGGATGTTCAGGTAGCACTTAGTCTCAGCCTGAATACTGAGCCAGATTCTGAAGGCACTGGAGATTGCAGCAATTTCTTTCTTGAAAGTAGATCTCAGTGGGGGCATTCCCACAGCTGCCACAGCTGGCCAAAGGGAAGCAGAAGGCCACAGAAAGCTAAGAGCCCCGCTGCACATGTGAGAGGCTAGATGTAGCCAATGGGTTTATGCCATCTGACAAGAACGTGGACACGGATTCACACGTCCATCCATGTATCCACCTGTCAACTCATTTTCTGCCTTAGATGGTAGCAGCAGTCTCTGAAGCTCCGTCAGAACAAGAACCTGTCCCTCATGCCTTCTCAGAAACCAAATCTGGATTTTGCCTCTTCTGCGATTAAGGCTGTAATCTCTGAGTGACAGCCAGCCTGTATCTCCACCCAATCTGCTTCCATCCCTGCTTGTGACCATAAGTCAACTTATCATACACCCGAGACCAAGTCCTGAACCGCACCCTAATTTCTGCCAGTCTGACACACCTCTCTCTTGAGCCCTGCTGGTACTTTGCTCCACTGTATGGACTGTAATTCACATTCCAGCCCTTTGACTCAGTGTTCCAGGCATGAAAGGTATATGACAAGTGATGAGGTCCACTGCAGTGTCCTTGGCTTCAGAGTCAATGAGAACAACTAAGGAGCAGCAGAGATGGTGAGCTGGCCTGGCTGTGTGCCTTCCAATTCTTAAGTCACTGAAGCTGTTTACCTGCAAAATGACCCTGGCCTTTCGTAATAATATTTCATAGCAGCCTCTCTCCAACAAGTATGGCAGGTGGACGTGAGAAATCACGGGCATCATTTTGAGAGCCCATTATTTTGGAGGATAAAGATGGTGGAATCGTCTAGGTCTAGGCAGATGATAAAAAGAGGGTGATTTTTTAAACAAATATTCCTGCCAATTAGAATTTAATCTTCCTCAAAATCAACAGTCTCCAAGGACCTTGCATTTTTTTTATCCTCTCACTGACCCTATCAAATAACATGGGTCTCACCATAATGTAAACCAATTCCCTTTTTTCTTCTAGAACAATGTTTACATTTTGGCAGGCCTTCTCTCATGTGGCTTGAAGAACCACATGTGTTTGCAGGCATTCTATCAAGTAGTTTAGAGAACATAAAACTTGCAGTAATGTTTTTGGGAGTAAATTTTATTGTTACAGCTTTAAAACACAATCAAATAAAAACAAGAATTCCATTAGGAGTCAAATATTGTAATAATAGAGTGGAGAATAAATTTTACTGCTCTAGGAACTACAAAACAGCAATAATAAAAAACACTATTATTGTGAATAAATTGTGTTGAGATGACTAACTAGAAAACTGTAAAACACAATGACTAGGAATAATCTACTCATCCGGAAAGATGTGAAGATAATTCACCCTTGTTAGTGAGGAGTCCGTGGTTCCAGTTCATTGGCCCCAGCGCTCGAGGTTGCTGCTTGCATTCCATAAGGCTGCAGAAAGATAATCTTTGGCTAGTGGGTTGGCAGGAGACCACATATTACAGTGAAATTGGACATGCAGATGGAGGAAAATCCAATTATCAGTGACTGTTAGGAAAACTCTGTAGAAATGCCAAATGTCCTCAAAACATTATCTTAAAAAATTATTTGCAGATTTCTACTAACAATTTGTCTGTATTATTTGACTGCATTTTTATGTATTTCTTATTTTTATTTATGTTTGTTTTCTTTAGAATAACTGCAGGGAATTATGTATCTTTTGGGGAGAAAGCCTGTTCTAATCTTGCTTTTTATTTAAACTACCCACACATCCCTCTGCTCTGAGTCCATCTTGGTCCCAATCCAACAAGCAGGAGAATGGAAAGAAAATGCCCTCACTTCCTCTGTCCCCTTCTCCCTCTGTGGGACTCACAGCTCCCTTTAACCCCGGTGGCTACCTTGTCCCTGCACTCGGGTGAGGGGAAGAGTGTCGTGGGTGTTGCATTTTACTCCTTGTTCTGAACATCATCAAAATTCAAAGTCAAGATTTGGGAATTGACAATACCCCAAGGCGATCAAGGACGATCATAACAATGAAGTTTCCACTGGGCGAGCTGAGCTGGTGGAGTTTTCTACACCCGCCGCCTCCTCTCTCGCTTCCCTTTCCTTCTTTAACCAACTCCAGTCAGGCTTCTGTTCCTACCACATGCCTCACAGGCCCTGAAATTGCTCTTCTCAGGGTCTCCAGGAGCCTCTATCCTGCTGGATAAGATTGCTGGTTCTCAGTTCTCCTCTGGCTCGACTTCTTAACAATATTTGGCCCTGGTGGAAACTTCCACCTCCTTAAGATGCTTGCCTCACTCGGCTTCTGGGACACAACAGTCTCTGTTTTCCACCTACCTCACTGGCTCTTCTTTCTCAATTCCTGTTGCTGGATTCCTCTCTCCTATCAAGACCTCTAAGTGGTAGACCCACCCAAGGCTCAGTCTTTGTTCTTCTCTTCTCAATCTACACTCACACCCTAGATGAGCTCCTCCATGTGGCTTCAAACACCACCTCTTACATGCTGAAGAGTCGCAAATGTATGCACCTCACTCCAGCTTCCCTCTGATCCCAGCCTGCCACAGCTGCTGCCCACTTGACCACGCCCTGGACGTCTGAGCAGCGTCTCAGACTTATCAGAGCCAAACAGAACTCTTGACTTGTGATCCCCTCAAACCTCTCCTCCCTCAATTTTCCCCGTCTCATGGAGTCACCACTGTTCACTCCATTTCTTGGGCCCAAATTTAGGAGTTCTTAAGTTCTCTAATTCTCTCACACCTCATATTCATTCCATAACCAAATTTGTTAGGTCTGTTTCTAAAGTCAATTCCCGTGTGACCGTGTCTGAGCATGTCACTGTCGGGGGAAGAGGGAGAATTTTTCTCTGTCCTTTTTTTTAAGGTTCTTTTGGCTGGCCAAACAATCAACAAGACAGGTTAGCAGGAGAAAATAATACCAAGTTTAATAACATGTATACATGGGAGAAAGCAGGGACACTGCGTTTCTCACCACAATAGCAGAAATTCTCGTCTTAAATATCATTTTCAGCCAATGACAAAGGAGGATTTGGGGGTGGGGGGAGTCAGTTACAGGAGATTACCACTAAAGTACAGTAAACAAGAGTAAGGTTTATTATACAGCCCCAAGGCCTCACCTTCCACATTGATAAGTTACTAGAAATGAGCTCACCCCCCACTTTTCCCAATACAGAGAGGGAGATACCTTTACAAATGGAGACTTCCCTTGTAAATGATTGTCTGACAACTCCTCGCAGGGCCATCCAAAGAATGTGGCCAGAGAGACAGAACTCCCGATAAGATGGGCTTGTTGGTGCCTTTTCTATTGTAACCTCTATCCTAAATTATCTTTTATAGCAGTCATGATAATATCCCCTTCCTAAAACAGATTTTTTGGTTTTAAATTCTTTAGGCAGTTTGGGAGGGGAAACTCAAATATTTTTCCTGAGCTCTCTGAGTCCTTATTGTCTTCAGCTCGAAATAATCCGCATACCAGAGTGGTGCTTCCTGGGGCAGCTTGCCCTGAGCACCATCATCACCACGACTGGCTAGCCTGAGGCCCCACTGCCTCTCCCCTGGAATGCTGGGTGTCCTCCCAGCTGGTCTTTCTGCTTCCATTCCTCTCCCTCTCCTGCCTACTCTCTATGTAGCAGCCAGAGTAATCTTTTAAAATATAAAACCAATTCTTTTCAATGATTTCTTGGAATAAAATCCAAAGTCCATACTATGGCCCATGGTTATCTCCCTGACCTCGTCTTCCATCACTCTCTCTTGCTTCCACTTCACTCAGACACTAGCTTTCTTCCAGTTCCTCAATCACATGAAGCTCATTTCTTCCCTAGGTCCCTGACGCGTACTGTGCCTTTGCCTAGAACACTTTTTCTACAGCCCTTTGCCTGAACCACATCATGTAGAACTTAACTCAAAAATCATCTTAAATCAGGCAGGAGAGGCCTCTCTATTTTAGTATACTCGTGGCCCACGACCATCCTCTATCTCCTTAATTTGATTCCCCTTACTTAAAGTTGTATTTTTTTGTGTGTACTTTTTTATTGTTGCTCTCTCAACTCTACTGTGAGTTCCATAAAGGCAGAGACTCTGCCTCGTTCATCTTGCATGTACTCATCTTTGTACTAGTGCTGGTATATAATGGGTATCATTACATTTTTGTAAAATGAATGAATGAATGAATGTAGGGCAAAGGATTTAGACCAGGCCCCCAGATGCCCAGGGCTCTGTTTAAACTCTCTACTTCTCTGCACTAAAGTTTGTGTTGGTCCATTAGTCTTTTAGCAATGATCTTGATTTGAGCCTTTCCTTTTACTGGTCATGGTTTGAGATTCAGGCACAGCCTGGGTTTGTCTGAAAACATGATAAGGTGTCTGATAGAGTCCTTTATGTGAGAGGGGTATGTGGGAAAATCCACTTGGGAAAAGATTTAAAATATTTTCACTGCTCAGATTTGAAGAGACTTGGGTTTGTTTAAGAAACTGGTGATGTGGCCCATTAGAACAAGAGAAGCATTTGACGCCAAATAAAGCCTTAGATTGTAGAGGAGAGTGGAGATTCTGAACAACAACCCTGCCCACCATGACCAGAGCAGAAGACACACCACCTATTATGCCCAGTGACCTGTGCGGAGGGAACAGCAAGAGTGTTCAGCTCCTGAGTACAGGTGATGGGGATTCCTAGAAAAGAGGACTGGACATAGGGAGGAGATTTCATTCTGGATCTGGTGGGGCCAAGAACTGTGTAAATTTGGTTTTAGAGGAGAAATGAAAAATCGAGTGGTAGAGTCTTTCACTGCTAAAACAGCTGTTTGAAGACATGATGGAGTTAACGAAGCACCTGCTCACCTGTTCTTTCTGCTGAGACATCCACTGACTGACTTATCTTATCTTGATTGTGGGAGCCTACCCTTTGAGCCTTCTCAGAGACACTTGATCCGCTGACCTGCGGGAGAAGCTCAGGATTTTCTCACTCTCTTTGCAGAAGAATGAAGCCTCTGCTTGGAACCCTTTATCTCCTGGGAATGCTGGTTCCCAGGGGGCTGGGATATGATAGGTGAGTGTGAAATGGGAAGATGGGCTGTCTGTTATGATTCAGATTATGTAAATGGAAAGCTTTTTTTAAGATCAATGCAGCTAGAATCTCCCCTCTTCCTACCCATACACACCACCATGAGGTGAGAAAATAAAGATCACTGAAGTTTTCTCATTGAACATTACTCTAATAATCATTGAATAAATGAATAAATATCTAAAAACATTTCCTAGCACAAAGTATGATAAATACCAACTGATATGTCATGTTTTATGATTGAAAAAAGGAAATTACAGTGAAAATTTTATATCCCTCATTTACATAATTTCTCAATTGGTAAATCACATTATTCTAATTATGGAGAAAAAATTTTTACAACTACCAGATAATTTCACCAAGAGATTATTACAGTTAATTTTTTGGATAGATAAATAGATAGATAATTATGTATATAGCACTATTGTCAAAATTTTTCAGTTAAATTGTATTATAGAAATTTTCTCATAATATTTATAATTTGTTTAAAACACATTACACTCACTATTTCATCATTGCTACCCTATGGGGCATTTAGTTGATTTCTACTTTGTCATTCTTGCAAATAATGCCATGATGAGCATCCAGCTACTTAAAATTTTCTTTGAAAATCTTTGATTATTTCCCTGATATAAGTTAGGAGAAGTGTAATTACTGGGTCAGAAGCTGAGAAAAATTTTAGAATCTTGTTAGACATTGCCAAATTGCCCTCTAGAAGAGCTGCATCAGTTTACACACCCAACGACACTGTATGACAGCACTTCTAAAGTGTTTGCCAATTTGACAAGTGAAAAATACCCACAGTCGACTTACTTTCCATTTTGTTGATTTCTAACAAGGTTAATAAGCATTTTGTCTTGTTTATTACTCATTTTATTAGTTTTTAAATTGCCCGTTCATGTCATTTGCACATTTTTGTGTTCTCTTCCTATTCATAATGAACCATGACTTCTCTAAATATATAATATGTATTAAACTCTGCATGTGTGTGTGTGTGTGTATGTGTGTGTAGTTTCCATATAAAGCATGTTTTCCTCTATTCATACATTGCTCATTACCCTGCTCATTTGGCATATCCCATCGAGCATGTGCGGTGAGAAATAGTGCCTCCTCTTTTGCTTCATGGTTAAAGAATCTTGCAAAGAACTTGCTCTCACGGAACAGAGAAATCCTCTCTGATTTTTGCCCCAGACTAACTGTGTGACCTCAGCTTGTGGCTTAGCTTCATGGACAGTCTGATTTGAGATTAGAAAGAGAGTCCAGGATCTACGTGAGCCAAAGCCCGTGTGGACACTGCCATCTCATGTTTTCCATTAGTTTACTTGGTTTCATATAGATACTGCATTTATCTTTCCTTCTGAGCTTTGTCATTCATAAATCAGAGACAAAGATTTACACATATCACAGGGCTTTGGGGAAAAAATCAACTTGCTTAAAAATATCAAAAGCCTTAAAACTTGTACATTCTTTGACCTAGTTTCCCTGCATCTGGAAATGTATACCTAGAAAATAAACTAAGAATGGAGAGAGTTTTATGCACTGAGATGCAGCTTTATGTATCATATAAATATTATATTAAGTACTGTAACATTTGGAATTAACCTGAATGTCCCCTACTAGGTTATGTAAATGTTGATATGTGATATATGACAACAGATATTATTCATCAGCATGGGAAAATGCATGTTTTATGATAAGAGAAATATGCAGATACAAAACGTAATAAAATACTTAGAAAAGTAAAAGAAAAAATACGTACCAAAATGAACACTGTTATGTTTGGTTGATAATTTTTTTCCTTTCCCTCAACTATTCTTCATTTTGAAAATATTCTACAATGAAGATGCATAAAACTTTTATTTTAAAACATGATTGCCAAGCCCAGATTACATCATGACAGTGATTCGGCTCAGGCAGGGGTCTCCAACAAGGCGGCTTCCATTGAACAGTCCTCGTGACTGCACTTGAGGACAGCGTCTCAAATCCGCTAGTCCTGGTGCTTATGGGCTGTTTTCATTTTCACTGTCATTTACGATATAAAATGATGTCTACTTTTATATGGCTCCTACCAACTCAAAACATAGGTTAGCTGCCATTTTTGATACTCTTTATTCACTACCTGTGATGTAACGATAGCCTAAGAAATCTACAGTTAAAAATCACAAGCATTGTCATCTTTCTCTCGAGCATTTAGGTAGGTAGTCTCTCATACATATTGCATACTCTCAATAAAAGTGTAAATCTGTAGAATCATTGGGGGTTTAGCAATATGAATCAAATGCCTTGAGAATGTTCATCTTCTTTGACCTCCCAATTCTTCTTCCTGGAATGTAGCTCAAGGAAATAATCAGAAACGAGCACAAAGATTTACTCAAAAAGTCATGAACTCCAGAATTATTTACAATAGCAAAAAACCAAAAAGGGCAACAGCTTTGATATCCAGCATAGATGATAATATTTAAAGATATGATCTGTGTATTATATACTCACTGTCAAATATTATGCAGTCAAAAATAATGTTTATAAAGAGTTTTCATTGGTTTGAGGAAATGTCTCTGGTGGAATATGTAATACAAAGGAGTGAATACAAAATTATCTATAGCTATAATCTGTGCTGTGTTTAAGAGAAAGCATATGCACAGAGAGAAGACGGAGAGGAAACATGCCAGCATATCAGCAGTGGTCACCTCAACGAGGTGGGATTATTGAAGATTATTCTTTCCTTCTCTTTTCTATTTTTCTCCTCTCCACACTTTCTAAATTTTCCACTATAAGTGTATGTTAATTTTTTTAAGATGGAAGTTTGAAATACATTACCATCATGAAATATTCATGTAGCTGTTTCCTCACTAAGTAGTACTTAAAATACAAAATTTGTCTCAATATTCATTAGTTTTTTGCCTCTTTATACATTCCAGTCAAAATTCCATCAGACAATCTTTGATCTGCAGTATTTATTAATAATGTACCCCAAAGGACGTTTTCTCTGTTAAACATTTTATGAATTCCTGTTCAAAAAGAAGACACAAAGTTCAATCCTCTTTTCACTTGATCAGTGAGACAAGACCGGTGATAATTTGGGGAAGTGGCCAGCTTTTTCCTCCCCTCTCCCGATGTATTACGCATTGCCCAAGAAATTGCCTGGAAACAGGAAACTGCCTTTTCTAAGTATATGCTTTAAACATTGCTTGAGCTAAGTATTTGGGTTTCTGAGGTTTAAGTATTGTGTTTAATTCTGTGTGAAAACGATAAGCCTTTTAGTATCAGGGGTTTTCACACAAATCCCATACACTTCACTTTTTTTGCATATTACATGGACCCAGTCACTCAATTCTGGGCTTCAGAGGCAACATACTCACACATTTTGCAGACATGAGCTGGGGAAAGCCAAATGTTGGTGCTCTGTCGTGTCCAGTTACCTTCAATTTATTCCCTTCTACATTGTGAAATCTCCAGGGAATACTGGCCTGATTGAAACAGGAATTCACCAGATGCCAGCCCTGCTCTTTAGCATACTCGCTTCCTACCCCACTGAGTAGATACCCGTGATAAAGACAGACCTGGACATTTGCTGAACTATGTGAAGGAAGGAACAGGGCCGTTCCGAACAGCCACCATCCCCGGCCCCAGCACTGGCGTGAAAGCGTCTCCAGTGACCTCATTTCCCAGCAGGACACGACAGGCAGGAGGGCCAGGGAGAGGGACGAGGAGAAAGGGAGGGCTGAGGAGGTGCCCTTCTCATTGGCTTCATTCCCTCTCCTCGCTCCATTCTGGAAAAGCACGAAAATTATTCCCTAGTGACTTTATAATGCTGATACTTATTTTGCTCTCTTTGTAGTCCAAATCAGAGATGGACAGTTTTTTGGAATGGGCTAACAAATATTTTATGCTTATATTGTAGGGTATAATAAAAGTATAATTTAGCCTATGTAACAAAATTTTCAGGAAAAAACCCCAACAACCTGGGATAATAGTATTTACCTTAAGGATTGCTGTTAGGATTATATATATATGTTAGAATTACCTATCTATATGTAAATGGAGTCCTTAGAATGGTGCTGGTATGCACAATTGCTAGTAAAATGCTGGCGGTTATTATGACTGCCTATGCTTCAGTTTGGAATCCTCTCTCCCCATCCTCAATACACTTAGTGCACCATTTAATTGGCCGTTAATCAGGCACCAGCTTATCGCACCTCATGCCTTCTTATTTATTGCCTAAGTTTTTTTGTTTTTCATGTGTTTCTGTCTCATTCCCCTAAGTAGATTTTAAGCTCTGTAAGAGAGAAATCTACTTTTCTATCACTACTAACTATTATTACTTTTGCACAGAGTAGCAAGCATACTTACCCACCAGGTTGTTGAATGGATTAAATAAGATGATCATAGAAATGTTTTGGCCAGTGCCTGGCATATAGTGCTCAATAAGATCTAACTACTGTTACTATCAAATATATATATTTGCTGATTATTTGATAAAGACATGAAATGTGCTCCTGAAAATTTATGTGTAGATTGATTTTTTATGAGTTTTAAACACACCACGGAATATACCTGTTTTCCTTATGAAATGATAATATGTTTTGTAAATCAATCAGCCTCAGCGTACTGCTTGCACCAATATACGTTTTTATACTGAAATTGCTCACTCCGACGCACCCCTGCTTATTAAAAAAATCAAATGCATGATAAATATTAGAAATGAATCTCCGAATAACATAGAGAAACATATTGCTCCTCAACTATTACAATTTTAATAACATTTGTTTCTTTTAATCTCCTTCTAAAATTCATTTTCTTTGTTTTAACTAATTGTTTAGACAATCCTATCTCATGAGATTTTCATTTGGACAAGCTAAACAAGGTAAAATTCATTCAACAATGTAATATAACATTTACAATTTTGAGAATAAAGAGCTTCTGTTACGTTCAAATTATTATTATTAATTTTAGTAACAATTAAAAATAATAAATGTAGCTCCAAGTTTAAAGTCATAGAATTGTGTAGAGAAATTGATTCCTATTAGAGTGGGTAATTGTGGTACATGGTGCTAAATGAACCAGATTAAAAAACTAAAATTTAGTCAATCCAGTTACTGTAGTTATGTAGATATGAATGGAACTTGAGCTTTAATTAATTCTATCAAAATATTTTTGGTTTAGTATCATTTGAAGACAATACCAGTTCGATGGCTAAATTATTCTCCATACAATTTTTATTTTTAATATCATTGCAGCTAAAATGGATTTTTACTTTGCTTTGTTTTGAACTGTTACTGTTTTAACATTTGTTAAGCATTAACTAGGTGTCAGAAATTGTGCTCATTGCTCAACATGCATTAATTTATTTAATCCTCATAAGAATCCTTTGGGAAGGTATTATTATGCCCATTTTACAGATAAGGAAATGAAGCGTTAGCGAAAGAGCAGATATAATACCACGAATGCTCAGGTAAAAAAATGTGGGAAAATAGAAACAAGTCATTGGAATGTTAGTTAATTAGATCTCTAACATATTTCCTCATAATGCAGGGTCACTATCCAAAGCTCACACCCAGCTTCTCCAAAAGTTCACATCCCAGTGCTATTAACATAGTAATCACCATACTTATTTGTTGGGTAAATAAATTATCACTTAGTATCTGCTGATAATGAAAATATCACCCTATTTCATGCTTAAATAATGCCTTTACCTAGGGAATCAAACATTTGTTAAACGTTTGTGAGACTTAGAGATAGAGGACTAGCTGTACGACTTACTAGCTCTGCGACTGTTTGCAAATTACTTAACGTCTCTTGGCTTGGGTTTACTTCTTTGTAAAACATGGATGATAACACTTCACAGGGTTGTAATGAGAATGAAGTATATAATGTGCATGAATGTGCTCTTATAGGTGCCAGCACAATATCTAGCACAAAAGAGGCATTGAGCAGTTTTACTAAACTGTTTGTTAAAAGATAAACCATAAATAGACAATCTGAATAGGCCCATATCTATTAAAGAAATGGAGTCAATAATTAATAACCTTCCAAAACAGAAAGCACCAGGCCCAGATGGATTCACTGGTGAATTCTACCAAACATTTAAGGAAGAAATTATACCAACTCTCTACAATCTCTTCCAGAAGATAGAAGCAGAAGTCGTACTTCCTAACTCATTTTATAAGGCCAGCATTACCCTAACACGAAAACCAGACAAAGACATTACGAGAAAAGAAAACTACAAACCAATATTTCTTATAGACATAGATGTAAAAATCCAAACAAAATATTAGCAAATTGAATCTGACAATGTATAAAAATAATTATATACCATGACCATCAGGTGAGATTTATCCCAGGTATACAAGGCTGGTTTAATATTTGGTAATCAATTAATGTAATCCATCATATCAACAGGCTAAAAATGAAAAACCACATGATCATAACATGCAGAAAAAGCATTTGACAAAATCCAACACCGATTCATGATTCAAAACTCTCAGCAAATTAGGAATAAAGGGGAACTTCCTCAACTTCATAAAGAATAGCTACAACAAATCTACAGCTAACGTAATACTTAATGGTGAGACACTAGAAGCTTTCCCACTAAGATCAGGAACAAGGCAAGGAATGCCACTGTCACCACTGCTTTTGAACATTGCACTGAAGTCCTAGCTCATGCAATAAGACAAGTAATGGAAATGAAATGTATACTGATTGGGAAGTAAGAAATAAAACTGTAGTTGTTTGCAGATGACATGATCATCTGTGTAGAACATCTGAAACAACTGACAAAAAGACTCTTTGAATTAATAAGCAATTATATATAAGGTGGCAGGATACTAGGTTAATGTACAAAAGTTAACTGCTTTTCTATATACCAGCAACGAAAAGTGGAATTTGAAATTAAAAACAATTATCATTTATATTATCACTGCTAGAAATGAAATGCTTAGGTATTAATCTAGCAAAATATGTACAAGATCTACATGAGGAAAGCTACAAAACTCTAATGAATGATATCAAAGAAGAGCTAAATAAATGGAGAGATGTTCCATGTTCATGGATAGAAAGACTCAATATTGTCAAGATGTCAGTTCTTCCCAGCTTGATCTATAGATTCAATACAATTCCGATCCAAATCCCAGCAAGTTATTTTGTGGATATCAACAAACTGATTCTAAAGTTTATATGGAGAGGCAAAAGATGCAGAATAGCCAACACAATATTGGAGGAGAAGAACAAAGTTGGAGGACTGACACTATTCAACTTCAAAACTTACTATAAAGCTACTTGATTACCACTGTAATCAAGACAGTGTGGTATTAGCAAAAGAGTAGACAAACAGATCAATGGAACAGAATAGAGAGCCTAGAAAGAGATCCACATAAATATATTCAACTGATCTTTGACAAAGGAGCAAAGGTAATACAATGGAGCAAAGACAGTCTTTTCAACAAATGGTGCTGGAACAACTGGATTCTACACACAGACACACATACACAAATGAATCTAGACACAGACTTTACACCTTTCACAAAAATTAACTCAAATTGAATCACAGACCTAAATGTAAAATGCAAAACTATAAAATTCCTAGAAGACAATATACGAGAAAACCTAGATGACGTTGGGTATAGCAATGACTTTTTAAATACAACACCAAAAGCATGATCCATGAAAGAAATAATTGACAACTTGAACTTCATTAAAATGAAAAACTTTTGCTCTGCAAAAGACAACGTCAAGAGAATGAGTAGACAAGCCACAAACCAGGAGAAAATATTTACAAAAGACACATTTGATAAAGGACTGTTATCCAAAATATACAAAGAACTCTTAAAACTCAACAATAAGAAAACAAACAAGCCAATTAAAAAATGGACAAAAGACCCAAACAGACACTTCACCAAAAAAGAATCACAGATGCCAAGTAAGCATATGAAGAGATGTTCAGCATTATATGCCATTAGGGAAATGCAAATTAAAACAATGAGACACCACTACATACCTACTAGAATGGACAAAATTCAAAACACAGACAACTCCAAATTCTGGTGAGGATGTGGAGCCACAGGAAATGTCATACATTGCTGGTGGGGATGCAAAATGCTACAGTCACTTTGGAAGACAGTTTGGTAGTATCTTACAAAAGTAAACATACTGTTACCATATGATTCAGCAATCCTGCTCCCTGGTATTCACCCAAATGAATTGAAAACTTATGTCCACACAAAACCCTGCCCATGGATGGTTATAGCAGCTTTATTCATAATTGCAAAAACTTGGAAGCAACCAAGATGTCCTTCAGTAAGTGAATGGATAAATAAACAGCGGTACATCTAGACAGTGAAATACCATACAACGCTAAAAAGAAATAAACTACCAAGCTGTGAAAAGACAGAGAGAAAAGTTAAATGCATATTACTAAGTGAATGAAGCCAATCTGAAAGGGCTACATACTGTATGATTCCAACATTATGACAATCTGGAAAAGGCAAAACTGTGGAGACAGTAAAAAGATCAGTGGTTGCTAGAGGTTAAGGGGCAGGGAGGGATGAACAGGTAGGGCACAGAGGATTTTTAGAGCAGTGAAACTTTTCTGTATGATATTGTAGTGGTGGACACATGTTATTATAAATTTGTCCCAATCCATAGAACGTACAAGACCAAGAGTGAGCCCTAATGTAAACTACGGACTTTGGGAAATAATGAGTCTCAATGTAGGTGCATTGACTGTAACAAATGTACCACTGCGGTTGCGGATGTTGATAGTGCAGAAAGTTGTGTGCGTGGGGGGACCGGGATATATGGGAACTCTCTGTACTTTTTGTCCAGTTTTGCTGTGAACCTGAAACTGCCTAAAAAACAAAGTTGATTTTAAAAAAAGATACACCATTGTTTAAAGATTAATTCTTACCATTTTATGCAGTACAGTGGTTAATATTAAAGGCTCTTCAATCAGACTGTCAGGGTTTAAATCCCGATAACACTTTCCCTGTGACTCAATTTCTTCTTTTCTGAAATGAGAATAATAAGAATACCTATCTCAGAGTTTTTGAGAGAAGTAAATGAGATTTAAATTGCTTAGACCAGTGTATGTCTCATAATAAGTTTCAGTTCAATAAATCTTAGTCACTATTTCTTTTACAAATTTGAATGTACTTTTATCTATAATATCTTACTGAACTATCCCAGCCTCCCCACCCCCACCCCTCCCCAAGGTTGGAATGGCTGTTCTCGCCCTGCAGATGGAGGAACCGCAGCTCAGAGGGACTCAGTGGTGCCCAAGGCCTCACAATTAGTAAGTTGCAGGGCCAGACTCCAACACTGGCTTTTGTCCTCCAAAGCTGTGCATGTTGCTTTCTACTACCTTCTTCATCAACCTTCCAACCCTCATGACAGCCTGGCTGCTTCATTGCTTTCGGTCTTTCTTCCCTTTGCAGATTCCCCGCACGACACAGACGAGAGGTTGTGGACAAGACAGGGAGTCCGTGGAGGAGCCTGGAGACCTATTCCTATGACAGATACCACCCCATGGAGGAGGTGAGCAAGGATACATAGGGGCCGAGGGCCGGGGGTGGTCGCACCTACTTTAGGATGGGTGGGGGATCATTCACTGTTAACACCCACAGACTAGAGAGGCTCCAAACATGAGGTTGAGATGTGCCTGTGCACTGAGTTCAAGGGATTCCCAAACTCACCCCTTGATCACTACCACTGAAGCTACAAACCCTGGTGATGTGAAATACAAAAGTAAATTAACAGCAAAAAGGAAAAGGAGGAAAAGAACATCTCAACCAGTTTTTCTCTTGTGAACGTGGACCAGCATTAATCCACGCTCTTGTTCAAGTCCATAGCCAGTTTACGCAGGCAGGGCCAATGTGTACATGGGTGTGGGACGAGGAGTGCAGAAGCCCTCTGATGGAATCATATTTAGCTGAAAATGTGGTGTTTCTTGCAGGATACAAGGGATACAGGCAGTAAGAGAGAAAACTTTTTTTCCTCTCCGGAGAGGAAAACTCTTTTTCAAAGAAGTATTTCTATTGCTACTAAGATAAGTTCGGTGGATTCTGAAACTGGATACAGTAAAAAATTAGTTACTATATCTGCACATATGTAGGATGTGTGTGTGTGTGTGTATGACATTATGCAAAACTTTTTTGAAGTATAAATTCCTAAAAATAGAATTACTGGGTTAAAGGATATGCACATCTAAATTTTTGATATAAATGCACAAGTTGCCCTCCAAACAGTCTTTACCATTTATTCTCTCAGTATTGGGAAATATATTAATATTTTCCAGAATCTTTTTCAAAGAGTACAAGAAAAAATTTACGTTTTCTTCTGTAACAATCACCTAAAAGTACTGAAGATTCTACGATTTTGTACAGGGTCCAGTAAGGCCCACGGAAAACTTCTGCTCTGGTATTGGAGATGGGTCACACTTGGCTTGGCCACTTGCTCTGTGACCTTGACCAAGACATTTAACCTCCTTGGTCTCCAGTTTCCTCGGATGTGAAAGAGGGAGAGCAGCACTGATGCTGCAGCTTTGTTGTGAGAGTAAATGAAGTCGAGCACGCTACTGTTGACGGAACAGTAAATAAATAATTGCTGCGGCTGCTACTCACTGCTTGTTTGTAGCTCTCCCGAGACACGAGGCAACTCCCCGACCCAGTGCCCTCACAGAAGCACACACGACCCCCCGGCAATGAGTTCTCAGTCTCCTCCCCACTTAAGTACTATTAGTTATAATACTGCATTTTATCTGTAGATATTCCATGCTAAGATGAATGTCAATCAAGATACAAAGATTTTCAAATTGAATATTTTTTATTGCAAATTAAGTATTATTATTTACCGTAACTCTTGTCATTCAGATATTTCAACTCTGTAGAAATTGAGTGCGTAGGTATCATATCACATGCCGATGACTGTCTTAACATGTCCTATCTTTGTGAATTCCTTATTCATTCACACTTATAGAACTCCAAGTTATTGACTTACAGGCAAAAGTCTAAGACCTTTCCTTTCTAAGCATGGTGTAAGGCTCATAATTAAATTATCATCAGTTCAGGTCTACCCATGTGAACCAAAATGATTAACTTGGGTTTGATTTAGAAACTTCTGTTGGCATGTTCTGTGAAGGGCTCTTCTCTAATTTTGGATCTTCTCTAATACCCAGTTCTTCTCTAATTTTGGATCCATGGACATTAGCAAAGGATATTGTTGGGATCCATAAAAACTGAAGAAAATTCTGCAAAATAAGCCTGATCTGAAATTTCTGGCATGATAGAGTGCCACCTGGAAGTCTGGAAGCCTGGTGCCATTTGAAGGATGTATTATTATACAACGTTGCAGAAGTGTTATCAGTGGATTATTGAAATTGTTAATTCTCAAAGACTTATTTGTAAAGCTCAACAGAGTGTCCTAAGACTGGGTGACAGAGGAGATCTTTAATGTAAATGGGATGAGGTGGGTAATAATTCATCGGTTTGGTTTTCTAGTTTGTTTAGCACACAGCTGTCGCAATGCAGAGTACAGAGTTCACTATCTTAATGAAAGAAGCAGTTATCTTAATTAAAGGCAAGCAAACGATCCTCTTATTGATACCCACAGTCCTCCCTGCTGTTTCAGATCTATCAGTGGATGAACCAGATAAGTGAAAAGTACACGGAAGTGGTGACTCAGCATTTCCTAGGAATGACCTATGAGACCCGGCCCCTGTATTATCTGCAGGTGAGTGAGAAGGCTGAGAATTACCTCACTGGGGGAGAGAGGTCTCCCCAGCCCAGTCAAGGGATATTTGTTTACTATTCAGGGATCCTATAGCCAGAAACGTGGACAAGGTTAAAAGATGCAGTGCAGAAAGACATTGCCTTTTCCATCCCAAACTGGGCTTTTAAAATTCAAAACTTGTGAATGCTTACACTTTCATCATCTGGGTGGAATTGAGATCTGGAGTAAAGAGAACTTGGAATGGTTAGTTGGGACCTTGGGGGTAGGACTTAAAAATAGTCAGACCCAGAAACGGAAGAGCTCGTGCTCTAGCTTTCTTCATGCTGGGCCTCCTCATCCCCACCCAGACCAGGAACTTGGAACCGAGGATGGCGGCTGGACGGGACCTTAGACGAGCTGGCTGAGTGGTTGGCACTGTGAAGGCCTGGGTGGCTCCTGTGGGCCCACAGAGGTGGAGAGGAGGGCTGCAGAAGGGAAATCCCCTCATGTGTCAACCAGTGCCAGTTCACTTGTCACGTGTATTTTGAGTTTTTAAAAATATATATTGTTCTTTTTAAAATTTTTTTTCCATAAAAATGTTTGAAAATCATAAACAAACTTTGGTTTTGTTTCCTTCATTTTATGGTTGAGGGAACAAAGACCCCAAGAAGTGAAGTGACTTGTGCAAGGTCGCACAGCCAGATAACAGCACAGCCCGGGGAAAACCCGATCTCCAGGCTCCCTACCCCTTTTGCACGTGACATGATGAAAAGTGTTTGGGGCCAAATAGCCACTGTTCCATAAGGCCATGCCTTCTGGGCTCTCTGGTCTGGACCAGTGATTTTTGAATCCTGGCTGCGTGTTAAAATAACCCAGAGAGCTTCTGAGTAATGCTGATGCCTGGGCCCTGAGCTAATTATTCCAGGAGGAGGCCCAGGCCTGCAGCTGGGGTGGACAACCACTCACCACTAGTGGTTTTCAGACGGTACCAGCAGCATCAGCGTTACCGGGAACTTGTGAGAAGCGCAGATTCTCAGGCCCCCTACAAGTCTACTGAATCAGGAACCCTGGGCGGGGTGCCCAGCACCCTGTGTTAACAAGCCACCTCCAGGTGATCTGATGCACACTCTGGTTTAGAGCTACACTGCACGTCCGACAAGGTCCCGGCTGCTGCTGATGTTGTGGGTGCCGGACCATGGGAAGACCACTGCCAGAGCAGCTGGGCCTCAGCTTGACTGTGTTCATTGCTCTCTTGCTACTTACTGTAGACATGTTAACTCCCAGAGCGCATCCCCATGTTGGAGAGCTCTCCACAACTACAAAAAGTCTATTGGCTCTAAATTAGAACTCACCCAGGAGCTAAGTGAGTGGTTACGTTAAGTGTGGAGCCCGTACCTACCTGATTCTAGATAGGCCGTCAAACTCCGAGCTGAGTCAGCAAAAAAGACATCTAGACAGCGTCTGCCTGGGACATATTTTAAAGAATAGAATTGGTACATAATAAGGAGGCAATAAAGATAAACATATAATCAATATCTATACGCTCATAAAATGGGTAATTATAAGAGAGAGTTCAGGTAAAAGGTGGATTAGGTATTATGCCAGCAGCTTTGAGAATGGGTGAGGCTAAAAGGAAAAAGTTCCTTGACTATGAAGGCTCCAGCCCCGTATCTATCTCAGTTTGTAAGTTTCTCATAGATAGAGAGGGAGAGCCTTACCAACCCAGCTCCTGGTGGCTTTCAGTGAACAGCATGAGTCCAGGCCACTTACACATCCCAAACAGATGTGACTGGACGAACGTGGGGGTATTCACAGCTGCCTCTCCACGGAAGAGAATCCACAATTGCTGGGTCAGTTCCTACCTACCCCACCCCTCGAAAGAGGAGGCGATCTTTCTTGCTCCAGTGAAGCTGACCTCACATACAAGAATGACAGAGGGGAGAGGGGAAGGAAGATCGGGTCTGCTGGGAGGGGAGGAGTCTGTGAGGGAAGGGGAATTTAGTGAATTTAGTAAGTGTCACAGGAGATTCTGTATTTGGATCCTTTCACAGCTTCAAGAAGTTGAAGTGAAAGCTAGGATTCATTTTTGCCACCTTTTATTCTTGAATATTAACTCTTGTGCACTGTACCACTCTGAGTGGATGCTACGTGGTAAGGTTTTATGAGGTTTATAGAGATTTAGCCTTCTAGTTTGTGGCTCAGGGTTGTCTGCCTTTATTTGCAGTTAGGGAATAATTTAGGGTGTAGGGAAGACCAGGCTTTGAGTGGGGGACATGGGGAGTCAGCATGTGATCCTAAGAACAATAGACAAGGTAACGGGCAGGAAAGCAAGAGTGGCCAAGGAAAGGGTCATGTGTGTGGGCATTGCTGTCACCCCTGCACCCTTGCCTCATGCTGGAAACCACGGAGTGGAGGAAGAAAGGGACTTCTGGGGGAACAAAAGCCTGACAACTGCATGGTGGCTGACAAGCATAAGCGATTGTTTGGTAACGGAGCATGGATGTCCCCTCCAGATCAGCCAACCATCCAATAACCCCAAGAAGATCATTTGGATGGACTGTGGAATTCACGCCAGGGAATGGATTGCCCCCGCTTTTTGCCAGTGGTTTGTGAAAGAAGTAAGTGTGTTTAACTTCCTCATCCTGCTTAACATCCCACAAACACCTGTCACGTCTGGGCTATTTAGAAAGCATGCTTCTTTCCCGTGTTGGCCATGCGACTCTTCACTGAGCTGCTCCCTCACCCAAGGAGAAAGGAATTCATAAGGAGCTTCACTGAACACTGAGTTAGGTGTTCTGATCGCCTTCTAGTACATCCAAAATCATTTTTATCAGAAGGTAAACATATCTAAATGTAGTAGAAAACACATCTTGGAAGTCAGAGATGAGTGATTCCTGGCGCTGCCTCTTGCACATAGTCTGGGGCAAATTACCTAACACTAGGACCCCTAGTTTTTCACCTGCAAAAGGAGTATGAGATGACTACTTCAGGGGTCTCTTGTGTGTATTAAGAGACTAATGTATGGAAAATAGCTAGCACAGTGAATTTCTGTGTATTACCTATATCTGTCCCTTGAAGGTATAAGAAACTTTTAAAAGTAATTTAAGATACTTTTTGTGTCAATCACTTTAGAGACCAAAACATAAAGAAACCCACAAAGAGTTGTTCTCAAAGTGTGGTTCCTGGACCAACAGCATCAACATAACTGAGAACTGGTTAGAAATGCAGATTCTTGGTCTCCATCTGCCACCTCAGACCCAGTGGATTAAGGGTGAGGGGGGAAGTGTAGCCAGGCAATCTGCAGATTCACAAGCCCTCCAGGTGATTCAGATGCTCACTGAAGTTTGAGAACACGACCATAATGAACAGGACAACTGAGGCAGGGTTGGAGGGTGGAGAGTGGATGTGCAGTCACCTCTTATAATTAAGTTGAAATAGTTAGAAAATTATGAGAGAAAAGACCTCCTCCCAGGATCATTCCCAAATGTTTCTCTTCTTAAATTTCCAGATTCTACAAAACTATAAGGACAACTCAAGGATAAGAGGGTTCCTTAAGAACCTGGACTTCTATGTGCTTCCAGTTCTTAACATAGACGGTTATATCTACACTTGGACAACTGTGAGTGCATCGGGTTTGGTCCTGGGATGAGTCTAAGAATAGATCTTGACTCAGGTTCGTTTTTCTGACCTTGGTTATTGCAGCTATAAAAATGTTCTGTGGCCATGGAAAGAAAGAAGCCCCATTTGAGATAAAAATCAACAATATTTTTAAGCCAATAATCTAAGTCAAGTTTAGGATTGAGGAGGTCAAAGATCTTTTTAGAGTTGAAGTCCAGCACGTGTCTGTCTCTTGGTTTTTGACATATTCCTAGTTTTCCAGCTGGACTTAAGTTTTCTTCAACTCCATCTCTTTAAAGTTTGTGGATTGTCTACACCAATTGGGATTATGTTGGTATAAAATTCACATACCACCATGGATCCTCCTTAGCTCAGTTCTAGAAGCGTGAGGGGCACAAATGATGTACTACCCGGCCTTCATGTTTCCTTGTGATCGTGCACACAGGGGACAGACATCTCATAAAGATGTGTATTTAGTAGACAGCTTCCTCTTTAAATGGTTTCTGAAGCGTATCACTCCACAAAGAAGAGCCCTTGTTTCTAGAGTATTCACTCCTCCCCCTCTCCCATGGTCCCCCAAAGGTCCTTCGAGGGACCCCTTTTTCTGCAAAGGCTTTCTGGTCCAGAGTCTGAAGCGAGTCCTTCCCTCCGAGCTCATCTGGCAAAACCTGTCTTTATCCCCACGTCCACTCATCAGTCTTCTGCTTCCGGAAATGTGCAGAGACTACCTCTGACACACCTGGAACAGCCTTTTTTCATCTGCCAAGCTATTTCCCTTTCCTCCTGTATCACTTGGACCTGAAAAAGGACTCTGCCGCTTTCCCTGATGAAGCAGATCTCGTCCACCAAGCGCTGCTCATCTGCTCATAAGGAAAAGGCCAAACTACTCCCTCCAATTTGATGGTTTACACGTGTGTATACGTTCGTTGTACAGATGTTCCTGTTATTGGGTGTTGCTGGCCAGTCTGTGAGACTAAAAATTACATGCACAAGCTTCATAGTGTTATGGCAATTCTTCCAAACAACCTGAGGGACCATTTTTCATGTTGGAGGACTGCCCGTCGTCACTAACACTGTGATTTATGAGACCTGAGAATGGCAACACCCCTGTGTTCCTCTGTTACAGGATCGGCTTTGGAGGAAATCCCGCTCATCCCACAATAACGGCACATGTTTTGGGACCGATCTCAATCGAAATTTCAACATATCCTGGTGTAGTAAGTACATGTTGAGCAGATGAATTGATAAACAACAAAAAAGTAGAGCAGGGAAGCCAAGAAAGAGGTGAGTTACTAGAAATATATCTTTTGAAAATAAACATCCACTTTTGCACAGCTTCCTGCACTTCCTCGCAGTGTCCTCCTCTACAGGGATGAGCTTGTCTCTACAGTCAGAACCAGCAACCCTCGAGTGCAGGACTCTCTGAGGTTGGCTGAACAAGGTTACAGCAGACCTAGACCAGTGTGAATATGTTTGAAATCCTATCACTTTGTTTCAAAATATACAAATTATCATAAAGAAAAGAAAAATCAGAGAATTATCCTTGCAGATTATTTCACAGCAGGAGGGCAGAAGTAAACAAAGCCAACGTTTTCTTCTCCTTAAAGCATTTTCATGTTTCTGAATCTCAACATGCCCAGTGAATTGGAAGCACAGAAAGAGGTAGGCACAGTTAAGAGCAGTCTGGTTAAAAACCAGATGGCAAGAGTTAAAATTCAGGCTTGGCAGCTGTGTGGTTTTGGAAAAATTGCTTCATCTCTCTGCTGTAGTTTTTTCTTATTTATAATGTGGCCCATGGTAATACCATCTTATCAGTAGGTGGTTGTAGGGATTCAATGAGATGCCGCCTAGGAGGGGCTGAGCTGAGTGCCCAGCATGTAAAAGGTGCTTAACTGATGGTCCTCATTATTGTTGGTAAGGAGGACAGTCTACTGACGTCCTTGCAAAATAGCTCTCATGAGACTCAAGCCAGTTGGACAGTGGGAGAGAGACTTAGGCCAACAAGACCATGTCAGAGTCTGACCTGGGAACCCAATGACTGGTTCCCAGACATTTGTTTCAGGGCCCAACACAAGTTCAAGTAAAGGTTACTGAAAATGCCATTCCATTTTGCATCTTCCTTCCTGGGCCATGTAAGCATGACGTTTGTGTCTAAATCTGAACGTTAGCCCTCCTGCCTGTCTGTGTTCCTTCTTGAACGACTATCCAAGTTGACTTATTTAACCAGGACTAACTTAGACAAGCAAGGGCAGGCCCTGAGTCCACCCGAGACACCCTGAGCAGGAATGACTCGACTCCGGTCAGTCCTGGACTGAGGTCGGGACGCCTCCTTTGTGGTTTCCTGTGTATTTCAGGCACTGGCGCATCTCAAAACTGCGAAGACATCACGTTCTGTGGGACAGGACCAGCGTCTGAACCAGAGACTCAAGCTGTTTCCAGCCTGATAGAGAGCCAGAAGGAGAACGTCGTGTGCTTCCTGACCATACACTCTTACGGGCAGCTCATTCTCACACCTTACGGCTACACAACAAATAAATCAAGTAACCACGAGGAACTGGTAAGACCAGGGCACTGCAGACTTGAGAGGAGCCTCATGGGATCCCTGCCTTCTGCTCCCTGTCTCTATTTCTGAGATTCTGGATCCTGCACCGCTGTTCTCTCTGTTCTCCCCTTGTCTTTCCCCTGCTCTCTACACCTTGCTCGTCGCCTGCTGGGAAGGCTTCAGGTTAAATGCTGCTTTTCCTCCAGTAATTAACCACCTGTTTCATAAAGTGTCAAGTTGGGAGACACCTTAGGTATTCGTCTCAAATATAAATGAGACGATTATGTTAATAATCTGCAGGAATGTGCTTTCATTTCTGCAAATTCTCTTGAAGCTTCGTTCAGCAATTATAGCTTTTGAACCATGCTGTAAAGAACTTGCCAGCTGTTAGTGGAATATGGCATATCTAAGATAACACAGCCAATAATATCTGCTCTCTTCTCTGCTACACGCAATGCTTTATTTTCTCCTAAACTCTGCCTCTGGTATTTGCCTGGGATATTTGCAAGGGGAAGTGCCGGCGACATCCACGCCCGATCAGGGAAGCGGCCTTGTCTCTTCGGGGTCCTTCCCTGCGGCCGTGTTCACCAGGCACTAGTGGCTGAGGTGCTCACAAGGCCTGGGCTCATCCCCCTGCTGTGAACCCGAGGACAACAGACACAAATCAAAGGGAGGGTACATTTAGAATTGTTGTAATATTCGTTATCTTTTTTTAAATTATTTTTTCAATTTTTAATTGAAATAAAATACACATAACATAAAATTTACCATCTTAACCATTAAGTGCACAGTTCAGTAGTGTTAAGTATATTCACATTATTGTGCAACCAATCTCCAAAACTTTTTCATCTTGCATAATTGAAAGTCTAAGCTTATTAAATAACAACTCCCGGTCCCCCTCGTCCCTGGCACCCACCATTCCACTTTCTTTTTCTATGAGTTTGACTACCCTAGATACCTCATGTAAGTGGGATCCAGTATCTGTCTTTTTATGATTATTTCACTCAGTGTAATGTCCTCAAGGTTCACTGTGTTGTATCATGTGTCAGAATTTCCTTCCTTTTTAAGGCTGAATAATGTTCCATTGCATGTACATATCACATTTTCTTTACCCATTCATACATCGATGGACATTTGGGTTGTTTCCACCTTTTGGCTATTGTGAATAATGCTGCTTTGAACATAGGTATATAAATATCTCTTTGAGATCTTGCTTTTGATTTTTTTGGGTATATACCCAGAAGTGGAATTGCTAGGTCATTTGGTAGTTCTATTTTTAAGTTTTTGAGGAACCATGACACTGTTTTCCATAGCAGATGCACCATTTTACATTCCCACCAACAGTGCCCCAGGGTTCCAATTTCTCCACATTCTCACTAACACTTCTTATTTTCTGTTTATCTTTTTTATTTTTTAAAACAAGCTCCTCATTATCAACAAATGCTAGGAAGGATGGGGGCTAAGTTTTCTCTGTTCTTATGATCAGAGAATCCTGGTGACCCATTGGTTCTGTTATGCCCCCAGACCCTCTCCCACTGGGGCAGGACCCACAACACACAGGGCCGGGCACAAAGAGAAAAACCACCCCAGATCTTTGCTGAAGGGAACCCTTCCCTCAGCAGTCAGAACTATCCAGCAGGCCCCCAATATTTTTCTTGCAGTTGGTTTTGGACATTTGTACTACATGACCATTTTGCAAGATGTGGAAATTACTAACATTTGCCCAGATCTTTACAATTTACAAAGGGATTTTACAGCCATTGTCTCATCTGACCCTCACGACAATATAATAAGCTCACTTTGGAGATGTGGAAATTGAGACCTTGGGCTAACTATATTTCTAGAGCCCCTCTCAACAGGGGAGTGGGGATCCCGGGCTGGAATGCATGTCTTCAGTCTCCAGAGGTACGTCATCTGACCGCCTCACACTGCCTCTCTTGCTCAGAAAGGGTCTGCAAATTCTAGGAGCTGTTATCAGATGCCCAGCCCACTGTGTCCTATTTCCTCCTCACTTCTGTGCCCCAGAAGTTCTATTTCTTCAGTAAAGAAAGCTGCAGAAACATATATTTCCATTAAGAAGCCCAGAGCCCTCCTTATTTCCCAGTTTCTGTGATATTTGTCATAGATGTCTACTTCCTGCTTAAAGGGATCTGTGACAAACACAAATGAACAACCAAAAACAGGCCATCATAGATCTTTGATGGGAGAGGCCTTCCACTAGCAGAAAAAAGAGGCACGTATACCGCAGTGTTTTTCTAGGGAATTTCATTCGCTTTTTGGTTCAGGAAAACAGATCCTACTTGACCATTTTGCAAGATTTGTATTCAAAGGTTAGAGGCTTGTGTGCTGCTAATTGACTGTCTGGTTAGAGCCCTCCGGCCACAGGCTGAAGGGAGCAGGAAGGCAGGAGGGGCCTGGGGCACTGCATCGCCACTACTGGAAGGTAATTCTGAGGCGGAAAGCACTAGACCGTTGGTACTCTGTGTGGAAATCGGTAAACTGAATTGAGAAAGATTGCTTCCATTCTGTATCTCTGACAGTCTCAGGTGCTGAAGAGTTAACATAAACATTCATCCTCAAGACTTTTCAACAACAAGACAGTGTGAGAATGTTGCCCCAGTGTCAACCTTACTGAAGCGTCTGGCAGCAAAAATTTTAGGTTCTTAGTGGTAAGCTTGATAGAGTGCAAAAAGACACAGATCCGGCCAACTGTCCAAGGAGGTTTCCATTTCTGGTACTATTTACAGCCACCAGAGACTAGTAGTTAATCTCTACATATTTACAAAACCAAATTTGTAGAAATCATGATAAATCTTATACTGTGTGACAGACAACTTGAATCACTATACAGGGAAGCACAATGTTATTCAGGCCCATTGTAAACTGCTCTGGAAATCAGAATAGCTATGAGAATCTGATGTTGTAGACACTGACACTCTTTCCATGTGAACTCTTCCCACATCAACCCCTGTGTCTCATCCCAAGCTCCATCTTCCCACACATGGCGGGGGCCTTAATCAGTCTGTGTGCCTGCCTGTGACTATATGCCTATAGGAAGGGGCAGGGGAGGAGTTGTTAAACAGGCTCGGGGTCTTTAGCAATGTAAATTATGTACTACCAGCAAAGGGATTTTCATTATTTTGACCAGAAAGTGCCTTTAGGCTGAGAAGAAGGGCAGCCGAGAAATTGGCTCTCCATGCCTTGCAGTATAGTGTCAGGAGAGAGAAGAATCAGGAGTCCCACCCCTAGAGATGGAAGTCAGAGTCCAGGGGATTTCCATTTCATCTTCTCAGAAAGGACTGAACTTCTAAGCTAAGGATCACAACTGTATAATTCTCAGATATGTTATATTTCTTACTTCTATCTATGTCCCCATAGTAATTGCTGGTGGGATCATAAAAAAAATGTTTTTTTGTCAATAAAGAAGCAGAAACTAGGAAAACAGTTTCCCACCCCACAGCGAGGATTTGAGGGAGGGAACTATAAAGGGTAAAACAAGTAAAGGCTAGTGATGGGAAGAAGGAATAGTTGTCTGGGGTGAACTGCAGGAAAGAGAAAAATGCAGGACACCATTTGGATGGAAAAGGTGGCCTGGAGCTGCTCCATGTAACCCAAGTAAAAGGGGAGGCCCCAGTGGAACAGTCAGCATGGAGCTTCATTTAAAGAGACACAGAAACACATGGGAATTAGAAATAATAAAAAGCAATTCATATCTCCACCAGAGACTCTCAGAGAACTTCAGAGGGAGTGTAGCTGGTGAATCACATCCACTCTTTCCCCAAGCCCCCGGCTCTCCATCCCACCCACACACAGCAGCTACCCAGAGTCCTTTCTCTCTACATTCCATTCTTATTTCCTTACCAGAATTTCTCTCTCCAGAAATCCCCTTTCTGACTCTCCTCTCCTTCTTATAATTTCCTCTTCTTTCCAGAATCAGCTCTGGTACCTCTTTCCAGTGTAAATGACTAAACCAGCTTTATTCCTTGCACTTCTTCAGCCCAATTCTGGACAACACAAGCCCAGGAACTAAGGCCAACTCACAGTCTCTTTTCAGGAAGAGAGATGGGAGGTGAATGGCCAAAGACAGAACTCTCAGTAGTGAGTGGAGAGGAGGCAAAAAGCTTGAAAACATGTTCAATTTAATGTTTTTTCTTTTATCTTAGCCACACACAAGAAGTCCCAGTGCCCTAAGGACGCTGCCCACCACTGCTGCGTACAACCCACCACCACTTACTGCCTTTTCTCCTCTCCCTTTTGAATTTCACTGGGCCTCCCCCACTCTACCCAAGCACCACCCTGTCACACCTTAGGATTCAGCTGGACAGCACAGGACCAGGAAGGGAGAGGCAGGATCTAAAACTAGGCCTTTCAGAAGTCAGGGGAGCTGATCCACCTGCAAGTGCAGTCTGGCTGCCCTCAGGGTGAAGCAGTGGTGGGTCACAGCCCAGGCAGGGAGTAGGCACGGGGGTCCTGGCGGTGTTTGTGTAGAATCTGGGGAAGGAGTGGGATATACCATCAGGTGGAGAGAATAGAGCATTAGGGAGTCTGGGGCAGGGAGTGCTTAGAGAGACTGTTGAGAGGGTGTGCAAGGAGACTTACCAGAAGGTGAATAAACACAGCGGTACACTTGAATCTCAGTTAGTGACTTTGATCTCAGGAAAGGGTCTGCCAAGAGCAAGGCTGAGACCTTAGAAGTCATTGCATTGCGTTCTGAGGCATTTTCAGTGACGTCAGGGGACGTGGTGGCAGGTGTGGGGAAGGATGTACTTTCCAGTTCTGAAGTTCTATGAGCCCATGGAGATAAGTGTGAAATGCCTATAAAGAAAAGTAAGAGGGGAGTGATAAGAAAGGCATGAACAAAGGGCTGTGGGGGAAAAGGTGGGGGAGGGAACCAGTTGAGGTGATCAGGAAGGCCTCATGGAGGAGCTGGCATTCGAGGAATTCCTTTGAGGTTGGGCAGAGATAAAAGGGGAGGCATCCCAGGTGGAGAGACTATCTGAGATAAGATAGGGAGTCTGAGGAAATGGGCACATCTGGGAAGGAATGGGAGAGCTTGAGTTTGACTATCACCTAGGCTGGGATGTAGAGAATATGACGTTGGAAAGATGGGTTAGCGCCATATCATAGAGGATCTCAAATACGAGACTGGGAGGTTTGTACTGAACTCAGTGGGCAACTGAGCACAGGTGAAGGCTTTTCCGCAGGATCATGTCATACTTCCACCCTACAGAAGTTCACCTGGAAGCCAGGTGGTATAAGCTGGGATAAGGAATAGTGAAGGGAAGGGAAGGGAAACATTAGAAGATGATGATGGGGCTCAGGGCAGGCCGCCGCAAGATGTGCCACTCCGGTATGCGGATTATTTCGAGCTGAAGAAGATACAGGCTCAGAAGACTCAGAAAGAAACTTTGATCTCCCCCCCTGACCAACTGCCTAAAAGAAATTTAAGATGGACGGCCTGTCCCCAGGACAGGCCATCACCATAGATAACTCTGGATATGGATAGGCTGGGAGGGTCCTTGCTAAGCCCATTCTTATCAAAGCTCTGAAAACCAAGTAAAAGTAGAAGTTATCCTTTAGAAGAGGCACTTAACATTTATATGGGATATCTCCATTTGTAAAGGTATCTCCCTCTTTGTAGCAGGAAAGAGGGGGGAATGACCTTATCTCTAGAAATTCTTATCATTGCAGAAGGCGAGGACTTAAATATGCATAATAACCTTACTCTTGTTTACTGTGCTTTTCTGGTAATCTCCCATACCTGACTCCACCCACCCCCAACATCCTCCTTTGTCTTTAGCTGAAGATAGTATTTAAGATGAGAACCCCTGCCATTTTGTCAAGTTACTCAGTTTCCCTGGGTCTCTCTCATGTATATATGTTATTAAACTTTTTTATTTTCTCCTGCTACCCTGCCTTTTTAATTGTTTGGTCAGCCATAAGAACCTTAAGGGAAAGGGCGGGGGTGGGGGATTCTCCTTCTTCCCCAGCAATGACAACAGTCCCTTTCAGAGGTAATGAAACTGAGATAGGGTGATGGTGCTGGAGATGCAACTTGGTAACTATTTGAAAGAAGGAGAATCAAAGAGGGCTGCAGGGTTTTACATGTGTTTAGGGAACATGGTCAGCCAGAAATATGAGACTCAGGCTTGCCTGATTCTGGGGAGATGGTAAAATTGGGTTTGAGTACGTGGAGTCTGAAGTACTAGCAGGCTACCTGGTACAGATGTCCCACGGGAAGTTAGGGACATGGTCTAGAACTCTGGAGATGCATTTGGACAAAATACCAAGCCCTCTGGATTGTTGGATTTATTTTCACACCAGATATCTGTCTCTGCATTTCCCACCTACAGATCCAAGTTGGACAGAAGGCAGCAAATGCATTGAAAGCAAAGCATGGAACCAATTATAGAGTTGGAGCAAGTGCAGATATTTTATGTAAGTATCTTTTTTTTACCTCTTCCATAGTATCGAAGGCACAAAACAACAGTGGACTTTGGGGAGTGGGGTGGGCAGGAGAGGGAGAGGAGAGTTCCTAGGATCAACAGGAAGTTGTACAAATCAGAATGACCAAGGATAAAAGGGAGTGTACAGATCCAGAATTGTGCTCCCCAGGGATGAGGTGTGAGCTAAAAGAAAAAACTAATATATTGGCTCAGACCAGGACTCCCTCTGGCTTCAATTAAAAAGAGCTGAGAAGAGGCACAGGAGTTAACAGGAAGGACGTTTTTCAGTGACCCTTGGTCGGTGAATTCAGTTCCCAGGGGACCCATCAGGCTAAGAAAGCAGAGCAGGTGGGGCCTCGGGAAAGGATCTAAAGAAGAAGAATTTAGTTGAAAGGAGAGTGCACTGTTTTCCCCCAACCACCACCTCTTCCACCCACCGGAGGACCACCTAGAGAATATTTGCACAATATGTTCCTGTTGGTCATTTTGTTTCTGTTCCTTTAATGTCAATTCACTGTTTCCTTGAAATATTAGGTTGTTCAGTCTTTGATTCAGCTGAGAAACATTAACCAGACCTCTGCTATGTGCCAGGGATAATCTTCAGCACTGTGGGGAAGGGGCAGGGGTGGACAGAGAGGCTGAACAAAATGTAACTCCTGCCCTACAGCAGCTTAATATCAAGGGGAGGGAGAAGACAGCTAGCCAACCATGAGACCCTAACTTGAAAGAGTTTATTTATTTTGCAGGATTGAAACTTTATTCCCTGAAATGGCTATAGAAATCTGTGCTCTCATAGTACAATTTTTAACTCTGCCTTCATGGTTTCATTTGTAGACACCACATCAGGGTCTTCCAAAGACTGGGCTCATGACATTGGGATCCCCTTCTCATACACTGTAGAGCTGAGGGACAATGGTACGTTTGGATTTATTCTGCCAGAAACTCAGATTCAGGCCACTTGTGAGGAGACCATGGAGGCCATTCTCTCCATCGTGGATGATGTGTATGCGAAATACTGGTCTTCAAACAGTGCTGGAAAGGTGACATCTACCGCCGTGGTGCTGAGCCTGCTAACGTCCTTCACGTCTCTTCTCTAAGTGCATCCTCCCCAGGCCTGCTCACCCTGGTGACGTAGATGTGCTTGCAGGAAAGGTGTTGGTCTGCAGTCATAGATGAACCAAATAATTTAACTAAAAATATGCACTTTCTATTTCAATAAAGATGAATCACCTTTGCATTTTAATGTTTGTTTTGCTGGTAATTAATTTATATTACTTTAAAAGAATGTAATAGTCATTAGTTATTGCTACAATAACGCTACAGACCAAAACACTCTGAAATTCAGTGGCTCACAAAGCTATAGGTCAGCAAGGAAGTTCTGCTGATCTTGGCTGTGCCCGCTGACGCATCTGTGGTCAGTTTCAGGGCAGCTGCCCTGGGGTCTAGAGATTTTTTTCCATCTAAATTCTGAAAAATTTGCTTGTGCCTCTGAACCAGGTTTGCATTTAAATTTGTGTTTTGAGTTAGTAGCAGCATTCAGAAGATGTTATACAGTCTCTCTCTACAGCTGTTGCTGGTTTTCTTTATTTATTTAACATTTTATTTATTCAAAAATACCTTTTGAGAATCTATTAGGTACATTTTGCTAGGCTCTGGAGTTACAATGGTGAATAAGGTAGTCACGGTCTTTGTCCTCTTGGAACTTCTACTCCAGTGGGTGAGAGTGTGGGTGGTGGCCATAAGTAATTGGAATGGGCACACTGTTGCATACCAGGCAAGCCTCAGCTTGGGGAGGCCATAATAATCAAGAATACAAATAAACAAGGTAAATACTGCAGCTTGTGACAGGTGCTATGAGAGAAAGAGGGAGAAGAGGGGTAAGCCGGGGCCAGACCGCGTGTTTCTGGGATGCAGGCATTTAGTTGTGCGTCTTGTCTGTTAAGCTGTAGGTACTCTTAAGGCAGCGTCTGTGACTGTCATTTCCGATGGATCTCTGGGGACACCTTGAAACGGTGCTGAGCACTTGTCAGGCTTTGGACAAATGCTGTAGCTGTGACTGGTGACAGGGCATCCTTAGGTGTTCAGTCACCCATTCCCAACTTCCTTGGTCACAGTCACCATATACTTCTGGGTTATAACCCTTTCATGCCTTTCTTTGTCCTCTGTATTTCTTCCTGTTTTGCCAGTGTGTGGCTGATAAGGGTCAGACAGGAAAATATCAGGGGCAATGGGACTTAATGAGTCAGAGAACAGCTATTTACATAAAAACACCAACTCCACAATTGTGGCATTGTCCAGAGAAAATGCTTGGGTTTCATCTGTGACCAACCTGGGAGGGAAGAAAACTAGTGTGGCCACCAATGCCGTGTTCAAGAAGGAAGCAGGGGAGCTGTGCCTTGAGGCTCAGGTTATCAGCTTTAGTCTAGCCCGTGTCTTAGTTTCTAAGGCTGTCTTTTTAACAATTTGGACTCTGAGAACAAGAGGAGCTCTGATCTACAAAGCTGAATTCATGTCTAAAGGCTGAGCCCATGGCCAAGTCAAGTTGGAAAGGAACAGATGGAAACGCAAGCTATCAGCTTGCCTGAAGCCTCCCACGTGGATTCTTCCAAGAGCCAGGACACGAGCATAGCTTTCTCCGGGGGCTTCACAATGCTCTGAGGGTACGGGAGACTGAGAGCCATGACCTGTTTTTATTTCTTCTCAAAGTGTTTGACTTCCTGTGAGAGGATCCTAAGAGCAAGGATAGGAAGGTGATGGATGACCACACTGCTCTTTCTCCAGGAAGTTTTCAAGCTCCTGGTCTTAAATGGTAATAGTTTGGGAGAACTTCACAACTGATGCAACTAATGCGATCTTGCGAGTGTCCTGTACTGTGGCTTCGTTGGGCTGGGGTTTGATTTGACCCTACTTCAAAGCTAAGGAGTCAGCTTGTTGCTCTTTCATAGATGTCAGAAGACACAAGACACCTGAGTCAGAGACAGGACAGTGTTACTCAGCACAGGAAGCAGCATGAGCATCAGCATGTTTACACTGGTTCCCCTTGCGCCCAAGTTCCAAGGGGGTGATGCAAAGAGCTCAGGGGACCCCTGCAAATGCAGAGAACTGTGTGATGAGAGAAACCCCGAGTTGGAGGACTCTGCTTTTATAGCAAGCAGTAAGCAAGCCTGATCTTTATCCCGGAGAGAGAGTTTGCCTTATTGCTCAAGTTGCTTGTTTGATGCAAACACGACTCTGAGAAATGGCCCAGGTAAAGAGTGGTCAGGGCCTGCATCCTTGGCACAGCCAAGACGTGTAGGAGCAAGAGAAGCCCCTGGAGGACTGTGTCCCGACAGGCTTTATGAATTAGGTTGAATCATATGAAATTACTGTTTTCATAGGTCAAAGAAGTCCTAGTATTAGTCACTTTACATGGTTCAGCTTAATATTATCTCAGTGCTAATAAAAGTGTCTCCGTGATGCCTTTTCTTTTATTTTTTAGGAAGTTTGAACATACTGCATTTTCTGTTACTAGTTGTTTCCTTCCACCAAACTTCATTGATGCTTATTTTCCATAACTATTCCTAGAAAGGAGCTAGATCTTCTTGACCTATAGCTGAATTTAGGGTTTAAAATGATTCAAAATGATAAATTAAGGTGATATCCAAGCTTCTAGCTCTATTTTCTTGACATCAGTGTCAAAATGAGTTATATTTTTGTTTCCACTGTGGATGACCAAGCTCCTGTCCTCCGTCCTTTCTGATGCAGTTCAGCAACCTCCTGATATGTACTGAAAATATATTCTTCATATCACCCGGTATTATTCTTATCTTCTGCATACAATTTGAATCTGGCATACCTTTATTACGGCACTAAAGAGAAGCCCACTGCCCAAGTATATAAATTGCAATACTAAATACAAAGGAGTTTAAAAAATTAAAATTAGTAATTATTAGTTTCTGTTACTATATGCAGTGATTGGAATACTTTATGTGTATTACCTTGCGTAATACTGATAAGAAGCCTGAGTTAGCTACTTTTATTTACTTGATGAGCAAGCAGAGACAAAGAGAAGGTAGATAGCGTGCTTATGGTCACACTGTTCTTAATAGTGGTTGAGTGACCAAATAATTTATGGGGACAGGAATTTTCTGGTTCTAGGATGTTAGAAGTACTGTCCAGTGGCCAAACCAGTGCTTCACCAGATCCCTTGAGGCCGCTTCTCCTGCATCCCTCTCTGTCCCTGATGTGTCTTTCCGCCAGCAGCTCACACACGACTCTTTTTCTGATGACCACATTTGGACTCCTGCACATACTTGACCTGCAGACCGAGAGCTAGAAGTGTGTGGGAGTCACACCCACCACCAGAAACCCCCAGCCCCTGCCTGGATGGTGACTGACGTGTCTGGAGAAGGAAAGCCCAGTCTCCTTGCAGTGGTTGGGAAAACTCCAAAGTGTAACTCATGTTCCAGGGCTCCTGGGGGTAAGATGGAAGTTACCCTCCCAAGAACCTTCTCTGAGGCTGCGCCCATGCTGGGCTTCCTCCCTTCCCTGCCCTGCTGTCCACAGCCCTCACTAGTTTCTCCCAGGAGCACCTCCTGAATAAACCGCTTGTACGTGAATCCTCACCTCTAGGTCCACCTCTGGGGAACCCAACATAAGACGACTCCCTTGGGAATTATTACTAAAACATAATACATTCTTAATTTCCTAAAATGGCCTTTAATAAAAGTATTACCATTATTTAACATTCAGAATATGCCTGGGCATTATGAATGTCATGTGGACAGAAATATTCTCATTTTGAAGATGTCATTCCAGGACATGAGGAATCTTGTTCCAAATAAGATTTTACTTCAGGAAAATGTATGCATTCCGGTTGGGTCTCTATTGAAGGCAAAGGAAAAAAGATTAGCATTTAGGGACTCATAAATTTTGAAGTATTTGGTGTTATGATAAGACTTTATGAGAAAATAATAGCCACTTATAACAGTTTTCCACTCCGCTGTAATCAAGACTGCGTAGTCTTGCTACCCTGAAATAGAAATCTTATTTCCCTCTGAGTCATTCGTTTAAATAATAATAATAATAATAAATAAAGCTCCAAAGAGTTTGAATTGTGAGTGTATCAACTCCTCTCCTACCTGTGTGCTCCTCTCCCGTGGAGCTCTTATGTTTTTCCGAGGATTTGTTCTTTATTCAAAATACATTTGTGCAAGTCAGCGCCAAAACAATGGTGCAAATCAAAGGTGAACCAAGTCTTCTCTTTACCTCGATGGTGCAAAAGCAACCACAGAACAAGAGGGGCAAGGAGCAATGTGTATTCACGGGTCTGAATAACAAGGAAATCCCCAGCTGACTGGCCAGAGGATCCCGAGGAGGGGCGGAAAGGCCAGGTGGGAGCAGGTGGTTGAAGGTCCTGAATGCCAGACAGGAGGTCAGCTGTTATCCCCAGAGGCTGCTGGGAGAACGAATGATTCTGCACAAAGAGGGTAAATAAACACGTTTTGTGTGAAGACTAGTCTGGAAGGATGAATTAGAGTGAGACGGAGGGGAGAAGTCTGAGGCAAACAGTTCAGAAAGTACTACACTGTACATATATAAATTGAATAAGACTTGAGTTGGTGCGATAAAAATGGAAACCAAGGGACAGAAATCAGAGATGTTGTTCAGAAAGATTCAGTGTGGGGTCTATATGCATATGGAGATGTGGACAAAGGAGGGTTGAAATTATTGTGTGTGGCTGATTAGAAAAACAGTAGCATTGTAAGACCGTGAGAACTCGTCTTAAGTCATCTTGGTTTCATCCCTACCTGGAAAGGCATGACAAACCAGTGCTGAAAACGGACTTACAGATCCCCGGGGCCAGAAGGTGAACAGAGCAAAGGAAGACCCTTTAGCTTCAGACAGGAAGCAGGAAATGCAGAAGTGTCCCGCTGAGGCCTCAGCTGAAGCTCCGTCTCTGTGTTCCTAAGTTAAATCAAGTCTCTAGTCACAAGCAACCTTCATTTCAATCTCACACTTCAAAATTTCATCAATATGGAAACTTGATAAAAGCTTTAAAAAGGTTAAAAAATGTAATATCCACCCGCCTCCTACAGGTAGGCTAATTTACCCTATGACATTTATTTTATAATTAGGTCTGCAA